ATTATGTTAATTTGGGTCATAGTCAATAAGTTAAAAAAGTTGGGCTTGCTAATATTAAAAAAATATATATATATATATATATATATATATTTGGCGGTCGGTTTGGTCCAAACCGCCCAAAAAAGTTTCCAAACCGCAGACCGGACCGGACCGCCCGGTTTTGCTATTTTCCAAACCAGACCGGACMGCCAGACCGCTCAAACCGCCAAAAAGGGTCCCGGTTTGACTTGGTTCGGCCGGTTTGAGCGGTCCAACGGTTTTTTTGAACACCCCTATGTTTATTAGTTTTTTTGGTAAATATATATAAATAATTGATTTATCGTGTTGACTTGCATAATACACTTTTTGGATTATTAACACCTTAAAAACTGATAATCCATAAAAACAAGAAAAATAAATACTTAAATATTATGATTATTTATCATAAACGATCACAAAATGATACAACTTTTATTTATCAAAAAATATATGGTTTTATTAAATCAAAAACACAAAACATCAAAAAAAAAAAACCAAAAAATATATTTAATAACTCAAAAAGGACTAAAATAACCCTAAGTTAATGGATGAGTTTTAATATAATTAGTCTCAGGAAGAGAACAATAATAATTTACCAACGATGTGAACAGAAATCACAATTTCAAAACCACGGGGATAGAAATTGCAGTCTTTCTCAAACCATATGAACGAAAATTGTAGCTTACTCTTAGCTTAATGATAAAACAAAACTAGACATACTTTTGTTTAATATGGAATAAAAAAATCTCAATGATAAATATTTTTCGTGTTGAGTACTTTTAAGTTGGAATATGTTAATTAATTGTTCATATAATATGACAGGCTCATATCTATATATATTTTTTCATTAACTTGGATATCCAACCTGCTATGCTAGCCGACTAATCTCAAGACAACCACATGCTTTACGAATCAGAGTCATTGCATTTGAACATCCATTGCCATAAGGGGATTCTTATCCTTCGTTGGATTTGAACTTGAAACCTCCATACACTTTTGACATTTGAAGCCTCAAGCTCAAACCAATTAAGCATCACCTTTATGGTTACCAAAATCATGGTCAATATCCATACTTAAAATAATCAAAATAAACCTACGGCTTCAATCAACATCAAAACCTTAGAACTGAAAAATCATCGTTGCTTAGTCATCTGTGATGATTGTTTAATCATCTATGATGTTGTATATGATTACACGTCTTTGCTAAGATCTTGGCTTGTAATAACTTTTTTTATGATGTTGGTTTGACTAGACGTTATATTTAAGATCTTATATTAAATACATTTAACGGTTAAGAAAAACAAATTATATCAAAACAAAACATATTTGATGTTGGTTTTTATCATAAAAAAACCAACATCAAAATCTTATATTTTATTTTATATAATTTAAAAAAAAAAACCTTATCTTTCACAAATTAAAAGAATTATAGTTCCAATTTTTTTGGGACATGGAATCTTACAATTGCAGTAATAAATTCATCTTTTTGTCACATTAATACAAAATGGACATTTGTACAACAATTTAATGCATCTTCTATGTAGCCCATGGTGGGTAGGGACTAGGGGCTACCATCCACCTTTCTTCTTCTAATTTTTAATATGACCCAATCTAGAAGTTGGATTTTTTTTTCCTTTTATAAATTTTTTAATAAACATATTGAATTATGTACTTATCTATATATATATATATATATATATATATTATATTATAAAACATTTGATAAAAACTCTTTAAAATTATTTTTTATGCATAAAGTACTGTATATTGATGCATATTACTTAAAATTCAAGATTACAAGTAAATTATGCATAAATACAACTTATTAAAACTTCATTTTTTAAATTTGTGTAACTAACTGCAGATAAACATAATCAAATACCGGATAAACATTCATTTTAAATATAGAAAATTTAAAATATAATTAAGATAATCATTGAACTATAACATAATATTTAATTATTATCTTTATAAAAATTATACTATTAAATCAAAAATAAATTACTTTGTTATTAAATCTAAATTAAATTATAATAAAAAAATTAAATTAAAAAAGTTACAAAAAAAAGGGAACTATTAAATAGTTAATTTGATACTAATATCGATTTATTTTTTTTAATTTTTTATTCTATCTTCAAATTTATATTTCATTCAAAAATAAAAACATTATCATTTCCTCAAAACCACATAAAATTGTATTATATCGATAGAGACAGAATAAAAACTAAACATTAGAATCGAGATTTATCTCGCTGCATTGTGCGAGTACCCTTCTAGTTATATTATAAAGCATTTGACAAAAACTCTTAAAAACTATTTTTTTTATGTATGAAATACTGTTTATTGATGCATATTACTTAAAATTCAAGATTACAAGTGATTTTACGTAAGTATAATTTATTAAAACTTCATTTTTAAATTCGTGTAACTAACTGCAGATAAACATAATCAAATACAGGATAAACATCTATTTTTAAATATAGAAAATCTAAAATATAATTAAAATAATCATGAATTTTAATTATTATTTTTAATAAAAATTATATTATTAAACCAAAAATAAATTACTTTTGTTATTAGACCTAAATTAAATTATAATAAAAAATTGAATTAAAGAAGTTACACAAAAAAACGAGAACAAATAAATAGTTAACTTAATACTAACATCGATTTTATTTTTTTAAATTTTTTTATGCTATTTTTACATTTATATCTCATTCAAAAAAATAAAAACATTATCGTTTTCCCAAAACCACAAAAAATCATATTATATCGATAGAAACAAATAATAAAAACTAAACATGAAAATGGAGATTTATCTCGTTAAATTGTGCGAGTACCGTCCTAGTTTCAAACTAATGAATTTATAATTCTTGAGTTTAATTTTCAAAAGTAACACAAAAAGTACATAACCCATATACCTTTTTTTAATTGTGATATCATTAACTAATCTGATATAAAACAAAGTGAAGACGTTTATAGATTCGAAAAAAGACAGATCATGAAAAAGTCAAATATGCATACTACATCTTTTCAACCAAAATCATTAATTGTATACATGTATCTTAAACGATAAGTTTCGATGCAACACGGTGTAGCTTTATAAATACGAACCTACTGAACTCATCATTCTTGTCGATGAAGACGACACCTCGAAAACAACTCATAATTCGATAACTTATATTTTTTTATGAAAAAAACGTATGAAATATGAAGACAAGAAAATTGGAAAATATGCATAGTTGGTGAAAGGTTTATGTATAGAAGTATACTTTGATTGATTTTACCCTTTATTTGGTTGATTTTGTTTGAATAATAATGGATGGTGATCCATCATTATCTATTTTAACTTTTTTTTTAACCCGGATATTCAATCCGTTATATGAACCGACTAATCTCAGGGTAACTATCTGTTTTGCAGATATCCCGGAGTCATCACATTTGAACCTCCATGGCCACAAAGGGATTTTATTTCTCCTTGGATTTTAATATGTGATCTACTGGTACTTTTGACCTTTGGAGTCAAGCTCAAACCAATCAGACATCACCCCTTGTGGTCTTAACTTATATTTTCTTTTTAAGTGGTTGCGGATTTAAATGTGTTATTGTCTAAAACGATATATATTTGTTATCATATGTTTGAGTTAATTAAATCATTTTAAATGCCAAACTTCCGACAAAGAAAATAATTTGAACCTTTTAAGACTAATTTTATACGTAGGTGTAAATAAATTTAAACAGAAGATGGTTTTTATATGACGACGAGTTTCTTAAAAGCCTTGTAAGAAATGCTACAAGGCTAAATACAATATGGGTATGAAAATTCCAAAAAACAACACAATCAGCTAATTAATGCATTTGTTTGATGTGAAAAGCGTTCATGCAAAAAACAAAAACGACGGTAACATACACAATTTTTGACTTTTGATTGATTTAGCTTAAACCAAGTTGTCGACTGTCGTAGCTGAAATTTTCTGGACATAAAATAACAACACGTAACTGATTAAAAGCGACAAAATTTGTTGGATTAATTGTACAGTTAACATTTTAATGTATTAATTGGAACATGTGATTTGTGTACACGTCCCTTTCATTCCAATGATATCTTACACGAAACCAACTTGATCGTTTATGCATGTTTGTAAGATCAATCTTTACTTTATAAGTATCAGTTCTGATAACTCTTTAAATAACACATAAATATAAAATTTAAGCTGTGTTTTTAACAAATATATTTTAGATTAATTATTTATGTGTATAAAATTGGGCAAGAGGGTAGTTAGATGAAGTAATAAGAGCAATAAGTTTAGCTAACCAATACGCCACCAAACTTTTATTTCTTTACTTGTGTACTTAGCTTTTAATTTCATCTTTCAAACTCATCATTTATGACCAATACACCCCCTTTCAAACCCCCAACCCCCAACCCCCATTAATTGTGGTCACATTCATTTGCCTGTTATTTTTTTTATTAATCTGAATATTTAACTCGAGCCGACTAATTCTAGAACGACTACTTGTTTTGTAGATAGTCCGAAGTCACTGCATTTGAACCTCCGTGGCTACAAGAGGATTTTTATTCCTCATTGGATTTGAACATGCGACCTCCTGATACTTTTAATCTTTGAAGTCAAGCTCAAACCAATCAAACATCACCCTCATGGTTGGTTTTCCTCTTATTTTGTTTACTGCCTTTTTCAATTTTTTGAAATCAATTTAATTTCATGGTCAATAATTTCATCTGAACGAAAAACCACTCTATCAATTAATATTATCATATTGACGTTAAGAAAAATGACGATAATTATTATTATATAATACAATTTTTATTAAAAATAAAATAAGAACTTGAATGGCTTTATCCATTCCCGCCAAACTGAAAAACTTACACACTAGTACCCCGAGATTTGGGTATTTACACTTTACCTCCTTTTGTTCTTGCTTCCCAGCAACAAGCAGAAGTAGAACAAGGTCCTGAAGAAGAATCCCCAAGCCACAGTGATCCATAAGCATTCCCATTTGCTCAGGTCATTCACACCTTGCTGCTGCAATATGTCGGCGCCGGTGGTCAGGCAGGTGCCGGCGGTGATGTTCACCCCCAACGTCTGACTCATGCTTTTTAAAAGATCCAATTTCAATGAGTCGTCCACCTGCCCAAGAGGACTGCCGTCGAAGATCTGAGTTCCACGGACAAAACATCTAGTGGGATCTTGGAATTCATTGTGCAAAACTGCTTCAAATGGGTATTTGATCAGAGAAATGTAGTGAAACCAGATCCAGTAATTGGGGATTCGATCGCGGTTGATGAAGAAGCCGCTGAAGAGGAGGAAGTAAGCGAGGATGGCGACGACGATAACGTAGCCGAGCATGACGTGAGGAACGACGGCGGAGAGAAACGTCACGAAAGAACTTCCGGCCCAAAATGAGGCCAAGATTATGAAGAAGTAGAAGAAGAAACCTGAAGCTCCGCCGTAGAGTCCGACTGCCCAAAATGTGATTATTGCGAATGCCAACGAGAGGAAAACCAGAGACGGGATGGCAACGAGGGAATGAGAAAGAACGTAGGATGATCGCCGGTAGGCGTTGTAAGCGGTTTCTCTCATGAAAATGTAACGTTCTTGGAGGAAAACCGGCAATGCGTCTGCACAGGTGTAGAAGGTTGTGGACATGGCGAAGGCGAAGAATCCGAGCCGTTCACGAATGCCTCGTGGCGTGTTATCGAGCTTCCAAAACATAGTGGCCAGGATGAATCCGGTGACCATAACTGCACCCAATCGAGTTCCGAATAGCTCCGGCATTCTCCATGAATTCTTGAATGATCGTTTTGACAAAACCACCATCTCCATCCACATTGGATTGGCGAAGGTACGAACGATGGAGGTTGGGTTGAGATCGTTGGTGGCGCCGGAGACTAATTTGCCCCGAGAAACACTGGCACTGATTGCTTCTTTTAACGATAAACCATGAGTGGGGGTTTCGTTGCCGGTGGTTTGGGTATGTCGAGATCGCTTCAGGTTTTGCCATGACTTGTTGAATTCGACGAGGCTTTTGGTTCCTCCTGGAGAACCTTCGAGTTCTCTGATCAAATCGAGTGCGAATTCGGTACGATTCTCTTTGTCCGGAATCGGATGGCCGAAATCGGAGAAAAAAGAAAGGAGATTCGCCGGAGAGCCGCTGTAAACGGTCTGTCCACGAGAGAGAAACAATAGACGGTCGAGTAAGCCGAGAAGTCGGTAGCTCGGTTGGTGTACGGACATTATGACGATGCTTCCGCTTCGTGCAATACGTTGCAAAACCTTCACCACCATGTAAGCACTGGTGGAGTCGAGGCCGGAGGTCGGTTCATCCAGAAACAAGATGATAGGATCATGAATAATATCAGTTCCGATGGAAACACGGCGGCGTTCTCCGCCTGAGACTCCTCTATGTCCTTCGTCACCGATGACTGTTTTGGCAGCTTGTCGGAGCCCTAACTGATCAATTAGGGCTTGAACTCTGAGCTTCTTCTTTGATTTTGACAGCGTCCGAGGGAGGCGGAAGTCGGCGGCGAACATCAATGTTTCTTCGACGGTTAACATCGGGAATAAGAGATCGTCTTGCATCACATAAGCTGAAATCACCTTCAGCAATCTGGATTCTAATTGTTCTCCATTCAAAGTCACTTTGCCATTCAAGCTTCCTTTGGCGATTCGATTCGCCAAAGCATCAATCAAGGTCGACTTTCCCGATCCACTAGCACCAAGCACCGCCAATATCTCGCCATCCATGGCTTGACCAGAAATATCGTTCAACAAAACCTTACTCCTGGAAAACAGATTCTCTCCTGCTAACGGCTCCACCGCCGTCGCCGGAACACCAGCCGACATATGCCCACCCCCAAACACGGCCGGAATCCCAAACTTTCTCTGAACGTTTACACTATACGTCAGATTAGTAAACGACAAAACAAACGGCAAGGATTGTGGCTCGTTGTTCATCTCCAAGACACGATGCGCCGTCGTCTCATCACCATTTCCCACGTCTCCAACGAACTCTAAAAGCTCCCCAAGTGTGGGAGAGACCGGCGGTGATCCCGTGAACTCCGGCATGTTCTCGAGTACGCCAATACGAGCTGACATGATCTTTCCACCTGAAATCGAACCCTAATGGTGGTAGCAGCAATGGCGAATTGCTATATATGTATAAATGGAAAGAGACAGCGATAAAGCATGCGTTTATGCTGATAGTTTGGTGTCAAACGGCGTCGTTAGACTGTTTATCCCAAGAAATATAGGTGGTGCAGAGAGCAAAAAAGATACTTCCTGCATAAAACCCTATTAATGTATGACTGAATGATATTAACTTCTATATATACGTACATATATATAGACAAACATAAATAGAAGGCGGGGAAAGCCCAAAAAATTTAATTAACATCTTAATAAAAGTAATTTATATATATATATATATATATATGGTGAATTATTATTCAATCTTTTATAATTGTATAATCAGTACAATTTAATCGTAACCATTCATTTTATTTGATGAACATGTGATTTCAAAAAAAAAATTGATTGTTTCCTAATATAAAATATTGATTATAATTAATAAATCCTAATTATTTTTCATAAATATTCAAATCATAATAAATGAATTCTCATCATTTTCATAAATATCTCAATTGATTTGGTTGCATTGGTTATACAAATGTGATGGTTACATTTGAAACATTCTCTCTCTCTCTCTCTCTATATATATATATATATATATATATATATATATACACACACATATGAATGATTGTTAAAATGTTCCTCGTGTTTCTATTTTTATGGGGTTCTTTTTTGAACTTAAGTCTATATGTATATATATATATATATATATATATATAGGTGAGTTATTATGCAACTCTTTACATTTGTACAACTAATACAACTTAATATCAACCATCCATTTAATTTGATGATTATGTGGTTTCATAAAAGTTTTGATTGTTTTCTAATATAAAGTATTGATTATAATTAATAAGTCATAGTTATCTTCCATAAATATTCAAATTATCATTTCCATAAATATCTAAATTGAATGAGTTGCATTGTTTTGTACAAATATGATGGGTTACATTTGAAACGTCCTATATATAGCAAGAGTTTCAAATACAAGTCATGTAGTTCTTAGAAACATAATCTTAACCCTTAATTTTGTTTATTTTAAAATTTAGAAATGCTTATAAAATACGATTGATAGTAAATTTAAAAACTGATTTAATCCATACCGTTGATTATCTAAACATATGATTCAAATCGGTTTGTAAAGTTTGTAAAAATTACATTGTTTGTATTTTAAATTCCTCCATATTTAGTGAATATTTAAAAATACTAAAAGATTTCGGTTTTAATATATAATCAATAGTTAAATAATTGTATGATCGATGTACAATCAAATCAAAATCTATTGAAATAACATGTCCGTTTCATGTCAAGTCATGTCATGTCCGTTTCATGTCAAGTCATGTCATGCGTCCGTATATTTATGTGTAAAAGAACAATTTATTAAATGAGTGACAAATAACTGATTTGTATAGCTCAAGGATGTGAATACGAACTACCGAATCGTAAAGAATGGTATCAAGTTGTTTGGTTTCAGTCTGTTAAGTTTGGAAGAATATTTACGCAACATGGATAGATGTCTTTAAGATATACGAGAGCTTTACTTCCAGTTGGTATTGTGGTCCTTTGAAGTTCATTAACTCAATGCTTAATTTCAAGCAAAAAAAAAAAGGAGATAACAGTTGAGCTTGTGTTAGAAGTGTGAAGCATTTGGTTTTACCAAATGTTACGTTTTATTTGATCGTGTGATTTTATTTTCTGTTTATATATTCAACAGTTAATCAATAAACTCAATTATAATCAATAAAATCGATTATCATTGCAACGATAAACATAAATTTAATTTTTAGATTTTTTAATTAAAAAATAAAAATAACAAGAGTTGTCAAATAAATTAAATGAAATGGAATTAGTTACAAATCCACATCAATATTTTAACTAATTTTCAAGCAATTTAATTACAACATCTTTCATAGACCCTTTGGAAGTACAATATGGCATGCTTAGCAATGATGTACGATCAAAACCAAGAATTGGATCAAACGTAATTGGCCGAAAGGCCCGAAACGGTCGGTTAAAGGCCAAGTTTATCGTAATTTTTAGACAAGTGTTTTAAAAACCTCGATCTAAAAACGACCAGACTAGAATCATTTGCTCTGATAAGGGCTTAAGAACCGAGAAAGTCACAATTCAAAAACTCGTTTTTTAATATTTAGACACACACATACAAACATATGATTTTGAAATCCCTACAGTAGGTTGGTATTCAGTGGGATTTCATAGAATCTGCTTGTAATGATTAATTAGTAAAAAGATAATTTGATTTTTCTTATGTTTTTTTATAAATTATTTATAAAAAGAATTCAATTTCATCCCAAATCATATAAACCAAACATACAAAAAGTTCCAAATCCCTGAAAAACATTTCATCAAATCAAATGGGCCTTTAGAGATTTGTCGAAATATAGAGATTTCCATATCCTCTACCTTTTTTTTATGATTTTACCATACAATGTAACATAACTGTTGGAAATGCTTTTACATATGTAAATGTGTGGAAATAAGTAGTGTTGTGTAAAAAGATGCATCCATAATTCGTTTCCTAACCAATTATAGTTTTTCTTTTTCTTTTTTTAAGACGGTGTGCAACTAACCATTTAAAAGTGACGCACTTCCCTTGCATTGGATCAAAAGTCGGGTCGTCGTTCCGGTATATGATTCTTGTTGTTTATATATATCCCAAATTGATCGTAACACTTATCTGCTTTGCACTGTAGCCTACCTTTAACGTATTGTATTAATTGAAAATAAACCCGTCACGCCACCTTTTCTGACTATGGTTCTAAATAGAATTGTCGTTTGATAGTGTTATAAATGGCACTACGTTGCTTGAATTCAAGTCATATATACAGTCAAACAAACTTAATCCAAGCACCGTCAATTTTCTTTTCAAAATCTAACGTAAACATGATCCGATTGGTATCGAAACTTGAACCAATATAAAGAATTTAATTTTAACCGATTATACGATATCTAAATACGTTATAACGTGTATGGTTCGATTCATCTAGAACACGAACCATTACAGATGGATCACATAACTGAATCAAGAAAAACAGACATATAAAAGTCAAATCCTTACATGAGACGACATATTCTACCCATAATGGTACAACTTTCTAATGCATCATAGCAATGTCCATGCAAAGGGAGGTTGTACCTTCAACATATGGGTCTATTGTACACCTCCATACAAATCCATGTGACCACCATAATTCGAGTCATCTTAGGTTTAAATTTTATAAGTCCCATTTTCATATTTTTATCATAAAAACTATATAGTTTAGAATAACTTTAATATATAATATTTAAGGTAGTTTAATTGGTAATATATTGGATCAGTTTTCCAATAACCACTGGTTTTAGAGGCTTACCACATCTGATTAATCAAGGCACATACAAGATGCTCTAGACATCTACAGTTATTAGATACATCTGATGTGTCAATTTTGAAACTTGATATTGTATGTACAAATGATTTATGTCGGGTTTAGCAAATTAAACTTCTTGTAACGTTTTATTATTTTTCAAGTCAGGTTAATAAATCGGAAATACAAGATTTAGTATAAATACAACAGTATTAGCATACTCAGATCATTGTCTTTCCATGAAGCATATACAAAAAGTTATTCCAATGATATGTATATGTATATGTCTTTGAATGCTATTCATTACCTAAAACATGAACAATGTATGACGGGGTGGGTGGTAGAGAAAACGACAACTGAGAGGGGGTAAATGGTAAATATTAGATTGGTAAGGGGTCAAAGTTGCAATAAAGGAAGTGGAAAAATTAAAGAGGACGGGTGGGGGGTAGGGACCGGTGCCCGGTGGTGGTTACTAACCAAATGCTACCGACCTCATCATGTCATGTTAATTTAATAAATAAAAACCGTTGAATAAAGTCAAAGTCATTTAGATCTTATTTTGATGACCTATTAAAACAATTAATATTTATTTTATTTACAATTTTTCTATGTGGATAGGTCCTGATGGATCATGGATTGACCCGACTCCTAACCCATCTAAATGGATCAACATGTTGAATTATTTGTGGATCAATGGTTTTATCTAAGATCAAGATCGTAATTCGAACATTTATTGTTTAATTAGTCATAGTTAATCTTAATACACATATATTATTCTGATTCTGTGGTTTATTAATGGTAAGGAGATAATCAGCTTTCAAATAACATGAACGCTTGTTAAATAATAAATAAATAAATAAATGTAAATTCATTGTATTTGATAGATACTGGTAGTTACTACGGATATGAAGATAACTTGGTATATGAATTCTATTACCAGCCAGACGCAGATGCAACCTCGAGTTGCATGAACGAACTCTTTGCATCAATTGTGGTATTATATGTCAGGCTACTACAAACATGTTAATATTAGTACCTGACATAATATATTTGTTCAAACGGGTTTATTTTTATGCATAAAAATTTCTTAAAACTCAAACATTTGTAGCATGCTTAAACTTTAAGATATGACCACACAACATGCACATCAGGTCATCATAAAGCACTTCAAATTGATTTATAAGCATATATCCCATTTTATGTCACTATTAAATGAAAATGGATTGGTTTTTCTATATCTATACTATATTATAAAGCATTTGATAAAAAAAATTAAAAACCATTTTTTATGCATGAAGTACTGTTTATTGATGCATATTACTTAAAAAATCAAGATTACAAGTAAATTTTGCATAAGTACAACCTATTAAAGCTTCATATTTGAATTCGTGTAACTAACTGCAGATAAACATAATCAAATAGAAGATAAACATCTCATTTTAAATAATAAAAATTAAAAATATAATTAGAATAAACATTGGGTTCTAACAAAATACTTAATTACTATCTTTATAAAAGATTATATTATTAAATCTAAATTAAATTACTTCGTTACTAAACCTAAATTAAATTATACTAAAAAATTCAACTAAATAAATTACACAAAAAAATGAGAATTTTTAAATAATTTACTTGATATTAATATTGATATATTTTTAAAAATTTTATTTTTATTCAAAAAATAAAAAAATTATCATTTTTCTAAAACCACATAAAGCCGTATTACATCGACATACATAAATAATAAAACGAAACATTGTAATCAATATATGTCTCGTTACGTTGTAGTGACAACCCTTTTAATGGTTCTAAATGAGATAATGGCTAGGGCCAAATAGTTTTTTCATAACCATACTCTCTAACACAATTAATGCAACTTATTTAAAAAGATGCACACAACGTGTCACATCCATATAAACCTAATAAACTTCAAACATTTTTACTTAACTGTCTATAATAACTGAAAAAGATATATCATAGTTTGGATACTATTTGCCAGTCATATATTGTTTTTTTTTTTTTTTTTGAAATATCAAACTGGTTATCATGGTGGTGTTTCAACGAATAGATCTATGTTAAGGTTTAGGAAGTAATATTCCCAAATAGAGATGATCAAATACAACCAAGCCCACTATTTAACCGGAGGCATCGTAACCAGTTAAAGAAAGACCAACTATTAAGACCTTAAATACTGGTTAAGTTAAATTTTAAACAACTGGTCAAAAAGGATTGATAGAGGTTTTGAAAAAAAATGGTCATAGAGTAATGACTTTTATGTAATTATGTCCATGTTTTTGGCCCTTTATTTGCTTCTAATTGTCCATCAGTTATCAGTATAATAGATGACTGGGCTACAAAAAATGTATAATTTTGCAGAAAGTTTTAAAGAATAAACAGAAAGTACTTGAGCAAGAAATTTTAATAAAACAACCTTTTTCCTAACGTTCCAAATATCAAATTACTCTCTATCTGATATACAATATTGTAGAAAATTATAGGAAAAAACTAAACCGGACCACACCAATGACAAGTTGAGACTAGAATCGGCTTAATTAGTTATTGTATTAAGAATTTGAATTTGAGCCCGTTAAAACGGAGGGGGGCACACGGGTTTTTTTCAAGTAGTGACATAATACGACTATAATTTTTTCCACAATATTAATATAAATTTGTTAATTGATTCCTTTTTCTTGCATAGAAGAGACTCGTGTTTGAATTTGTCTACATATATTTTCAAAAAAACGGAAGAAATATAAAAAAAACAACAACAAATTTGATTATAGCGGAACTTGAATCCATTTTAAGCCTTTTGTACGAAAATAAAAACATTTAGAAAAAGTATATGTAGATATCAAACAAAATAATACAACAACACTTTTCAGAAATATAATTTATTTCCTTATGACAAAACCATTAAGGGTGTGTTTCGTGTCTAGACAGGACATAATAGAACATGACATGACAGAATAGAATAGAACGAATCAAACAACTGTTCAACATTTGGTAAGATAAAACAGAACAGAACAAATAATTTATTAAATTAGAACAAGTAATTTATTAAATTAGAACAAGTAATTTATTAAATTATAATAGAATGATTATTTTATATAACAAAATATATCATTCGAAAGTTTTCGTCAAAACAATTAAAATGACACCAAATAAAAAGTTTATGTAGTTTGAAATTTTTATTTTTATCTTTTTTCTACATTATATTTTATTATTAATATATAATAAATTAAATAAAAATATAAAAACCGTATAAAAATAATATTTTAAGAACAGTAAAATAAAATTTTAAAAAATATAAAATACACCAAATAAAATTTAAAGAATAATTAAAATGTAAAAAGAAGACCTATTTAATGTTTTAGAAAAGAATTAAATTTTATTTTAAGATTATATTAATAAAATATAAATTTGTTCCACCTTATTTTATAAAATAAAGATAAACATGCCTGTTCCACATAAAAATTATACCCAAGACGGAACAGAAATCCTTGTCCTATTCTGTACCAAATCACTAAATTGATTAGTTAATTGATCAGCTCTGCCACCGTACCCTTGAAAAAGTAGGTATGCCCATGCGTTTGGCCCAGTTTTTATCATCACTACTTCCCTCGCGGGCATGGACCAAGCCCATTTATTGGAACGGGTGGAAGACGGCCGACGGTAGTAAACGCCGGGAAGGTTGCCGATGAAGAAGGCTCCGTAAGGAAGAAGGTTTCAATAAATTCACAGTGCGTTTCTTCATCTGAAAAGAGGTAAAGTGATATAAACATTACTGAAACCAACAATTCTTTGGTGGAAGATGCAAATGATTTTGCAGGTCCAGAATTTTCTAGGGTTTCAACTTGGAAAAGAGAAGCAGACGGCGGTCTCAATTTCTAGGGTTTTGTCAAATTCATCTCTTAACCGTTGAAATTTAAGTTTGCGAATGGAGTTTTTTAAAAGATTTTATAATTTTATTAAAATTAATAAAAAGTAAAAAATAAATTCATGAGAATGAACGGTGCAGATAAAACGAAGCCATTAAAGCTCCAATTACGATCTTCCAAAGCTCTCAAATCTCAAACAATCTCTCTTCTCCAGCGTCCGATCTCTGCATAAATCAACCCAATCAGATCTCTCTCCCTCTTCGCGCGCCAAATACAAATCTCTCTCCTCCCTCCAATTTTKTGTATGTCCAAATTCCCCAATTTTGCCCCAAGTTTGTTGTCGAACAAATCCATGTACCATCGGAGTCTTTCTGTTTTATTTTTGATTTTAACTGATGTTTAATAAGTTCTTTGGTTGTTGGTGTTGATGATTGTTGTTGGGTTTAGGGTTTCCATCGGCGGTAATGGCGGATGGTCCGGGGAGTCCGGCTGGTGGTAGTCATGAAAGCGGCGGTGAACAGAGTCCTCACTCAAACTCTAACATTAGGGAGCAAGACAGGTTCCTCCCGATCGCTAACATAAGCCGGATCATGAAAAAGGCATTGCCTGCTAATGGGAAGATCGCGAAAGACGCTAAAGACACCGTTCAGGAATGCGTTTCCGAGTTCATCAGTTTCGTCACTAGCGAGTAAGTACATCCATAACAATTTCACACAGACTGTAACACGCACATATTTTGAGTGCATACTTGTTCAGTCAGGCATAGCACCAAGTAAAATCGAGCAAGTGTTCTAGTTACTGTAAATTATAAGAAATTGTTAGTAGAACGTAAACAAGATCGAGACATCTAACTGGATCATGGTGTCTTGTGTTCTAGTGAAGTTTCTTTAACGGGATAGAAGAAGATAAGTTCATGGAATTTTTTTTTTGTCTGTGTGTTGTAATTTCCTGAGTAGGGCCAGCGATAAGTGTCAGAAAGAGAAGAGGAAGACAATTAATGGTGATGATTTGCTCTGGGCTATGGCTACGCTAGGTTTTGAAGATTATATTGATCCCCTCAAGGCTTACCTGTCTAGATACAGAGAGGTAAAACTTTTGTAGTTAAAGATCACTTTCTGGTTCTCCTACCATGATAGCAACAAAGTTGGGTGTTCATATAATTTCATATTACCTTTTTGCTTTAAATCACAGTAAGTATGGAATGGGGCTGTGTGGGATCTTATTTTTTCATTACAATTTGGTGTTCACATTGCTCATTTGGAGTGTATGTTAATTGAACTTTGGTGTAGTAAGATGGCACTAAGTCATACTACATCCTATTTTTTGTGCTTTCAACTGAAATATCATATGAATTCCTACCCCTCACAATTTCAGTGAGCTGTTTTACTTAAAGTTTTGGCCCCAATAACCTTTCCAAAAGAGTTTGCTAGATAGAGTAGGTGTTGGTGTGTTGCCCTATACATACCATTATTTACTACAAATCAATTCAGACTTGATATCTTAATACGTCTGGTGGTAAAAATGATTTTAGATGCTCGTAGTAAGTAAAGAAATGGTGATTTGGGGGGCTGAGGCGGACCCAGAAAAAGTATGGAGATATAGAAGGTGAAAAACTGGATATTTGCTAAAAACGGGAGTCAAACACGCAACCTCTCGGAGGGCAAGCATTAATATGGAGATTTAGATCTCAGTTATTTTCAATTTCTGTTATAAGTTTGGTTTTAAAACATTTCAGGGCACTTCTCAAAATTAAGTGGATGCACCTTTAAGGCCTCTATTTTTTACCATGCAACGTGACGATTGAGCGGTAGCCTGTGCACCCCCTACCCTCTTACTAGGTCCGCCTATGATTTGGTCATGCCTTGATAATAGAGCTCGTATCTTCATAGAAGCATATTGTTTAAAATCCTGGGTACCATGAATACTTGTTTTGTTTTGTAATGTTTCTGTTGGTTTCAGCTTATCAGTTCTCAAAATTTAGTTTCTGACATGATTTTCTGTTTCTTTCTTGCTGTTGGATGCTTACATGGACTACTGATCTACACAGTTAGAGGTGCGGGATTCATTTGAGACTCTTATAACTGAACTCACATTAATTAAATATGATCTATGAGATGTTTGTCAAGTGGTATAGACAGCTGATGTAGTGATATACCTTTTTTAGGGTGATACAAAGGGTTCTGCAAGGGGTGGAGATGGATCGGGCAAGAAAGATACAATGGGACCTCAGCTTGTTCCAAATGCACAGGTGAACCAAAGCATAGTTTCTGTATTGTAGTTTCAGTTATTTTCAATTTATCTCTTCATTGAATGTGCTCTGTGGCTTCCTTTTTTCTTGATTTTCCATTTTTTTGTATCAATTCGCAGTTCCCTCATCAAGGACCGTATACACAAGGCATGAATTTTTTGAATTCGCATGTTTGAACTTCCAAGTAATCTCTCTTTCTCCCTTGCTGAGCTCAACTCAAACATTTTCAACTTAGTGTCTAATTGCTTCTTTGTGGGGGTAGTCCCTATTATCTTTCTGCATTTGTGGTTATCAGAATCACACTCTGCACCGCGTTATTACAAGTGCATTAAATTTCATTTTGGGATGATAATAAACACAACATTTCCCCTTCCTCAAACTTTTAAAGATGATACCATCAACATATATGCCTTTTTACACATAAAAAAGCCGACAAGACTCAAGAGGAATCAAGAATTGACCTACTACTTACCTTACGCAATTGTCAGAATTTTATTGAATTATGAGAGATGAGGGAGGGGGATCATTAAATGGATGGTTGTATGATGCTGACAAAGGGAAAATAAAAAGCAATTGCACATGCCTTGTACCCTACTTGAGAATTCACTTTATTTGTCCCTTGATATAAACTTTTAGTACTTAATCCTATATAATCTGGATGCAGTTACAAGCAAGGCAAAATTTTATGTTCCTCAACATGCTACTTTCTATCTTCGTTCTTAAGCTTACAATAAAACATCACTTATGATGCTTTTATCATAATGCTATCAGAGTACTTCATGCTAACTCTTATCACTTTCTTAAGTCGTTAGCAGACTTTAGGGTTTTCATCTTGGTTTTCTTTCTCAAATATAGTTAGCATGCAGATCCATTTAGCTGGCGCCGGATGGACTGTGTGGACTTTTCGTTTGGATTATTTGGGATCAAAACTGTCTTGTTAATGTCGTTGGCTATGGAGTTACAAAGTCCAACAGCAATATATATATACACACACATATAGGGTTAACATCAAGAGACAACTCTGAAAAATAAAAGAACCGAAGATCCCATCCAAATCGTTAGATTGAGATGATCCAACAGATGTGGTTAATAACTACCTTTTTAAAAAATTAAACATATTTTCTTCAAAATTTTAAATGGAAAATAGGTGAAATATGCCAAAAATAAGAGCAAAAGAAAATACACCAAATAAACGATCACTTTATTATCTTTAATTTGACATCCTTTTTGGTATATTTTTTCATCCGTTTTTTCATGATTCTCCGGTTCTTTTTTTTAATTTGACATCCATTTTGATATAACACACACACACACACGGGGGGTTATTAATAATCAAGGTTAATATTTAAAATGTTAATTTTGGTAATTATCCACTAATTTTCAAAAAAATTCAACTTGATGGATAATATTAAGGGGGTAAAGTAGTATTTTTGTAAATCTCTCTCTCCTCCAGCGAACATTACCAGTTTCAAACCCATATCGCTTGTAATACACGTTGTGATACATTACCACTGTGTTACCCTCAAGAAACTATATGAACACTGTGAACATTACCACTGTGATACACTCTATGAACTTTTGTCATTGTGATACACTGTGATACAAGTTGTGATACACCATGGTTTCAAGATTTTTAGCTGTAGTGATACACTGTGATTTCATGTTTTTAGCTTTAGTGATACACTGTGATTTCATGTTTTTGCATATTTCATGTTTTTATTTTGATGGGCAATATTGGTTGAATGTTTAATAAGAGTCAAAAAAAGGTATCTGATTGAGTAATTTAGGGGATTCAAAATCGTGAACTGTTATGGTAACCGCGTGTGAACACAAGGAAAACTTAGTAATTTTCTGATAACCGTGAGACCCAATCTCAACCATAATTCAAAGGATAAATTAGGAAATTAATTTTTTTGGTAATTTTGACTTAAAATTTTAATTAAAGGGTATTTTAGGTGTTTTAGAAATCTTATCTCTTCTCACTCATCTCTCCTCTCTCCGACGAACCTTATTCCGGCAAACACCATGTGAGCATAAGATACACAATGTGATACCTAAAAAAACATCGTCACTGTTAAAAAAAAAATACATACAAACGATTCTCATATGTGATACCCAAGATACATACAATATGGACATTGTGATACCTATTGTATACACGTTGCTACCCATAGTTTACAATGTGTTCACAACACCAAATGTTAATTTTGGTAATACAAAATGGGAATATGTAAAGAGAGAGTTGTTAAATATGGGGAGAGAGAGAGAGAGAGAGATTTGTCAAATAATTTAGTTAAATACAAAATGGAAATATGAAATTACTAATTTGCGCTTTTACTTTATTTTAATAAAATAAAAGTAATTATTCCAAATGATTGGCTCGCATTGGATCTCACGGTTATCTCGAACTATTTTGTTCTCATTTGATTAGACCCCTATATATATTGTCTTAGGATATGCATTAGTTTAGCGAATCTAATGGATTATGACAATTGACAAAGACAAGGTTTGTTTCCGTTAGTTCTTGGATTGTATCCTGATTATTTCTCTCCCTGCAGTAGAGCTCTGCTGTTAGTTTCTGCAGGCAGTTCATATGAATTCTAAGCTTTGCGCACTCTGTGTAAATTACCCGAACAACTTGTTTTTTCTCCTTGCATATCTGGAACTTCAGAATATAAGACAGTCAAATAACTTGTACATCTCTATTGTAATCCTGGTAGGCTTAGTTGTGTTGCTTTCTTGAAGCAACATTTTATGCAGGTGGGAATTGCCATTTATGTGCGTAGTATAAGTTTTCCTGGATGGAAATTTGATGATAAATATTGTATCTATTCATATCTTAATCCAGTTACTACAATCTTTTCTCATATCAGGCAATCTCTAGTCGTCATTTCCATCACATCTTGAACAACCAATTTTCTACTCTTAACAAATACCATTATGACTAGTACATCAATAATCATTTCATTTTCCAAGCATGTCAGTTATCATATGGAGCTATGTGTTGCAGGCTCTGCTATTAATGACCAACATGGTTTCTCCATTTGGGCAAATTGCAAAATTGGTCCCTAGTCTGAGTTTGATTTTTGTCACAATTGTTCTGTTGGATGGAATTTGCTATCCTTGGTAAATCTTTTAACTCTCTACCCCATGGTTTTATCCCAACTTTTCCATGGTCTTTGAAACTTAGTTGGGGAATTGCATTGAAAATATGAGGGAGTTAATGCAACAGGGAAACTTGAGTTCAATACTCTTTCAACTGAGTTAAGTTCTAGTTGCAAATTTTTTGAAATTAAGCTGTCAGAGTCCCAACCCCCTAAGTTACACTCTTGTCTCTTGAGGCTTCAAACATCATGACTCATAACTGCTCTGTCCCAAATATGAATGGTTTAGAGATGAGCAGCACTGCTATTCCTCAAACACCTTCATTATTTGCCTTTGTTATATATATACATATATATATGTATGTATGGCATTCATAATATTATTTTACATATGTAGACACATATAATATATATGTATGGCACTCATAGTATTCTTTTACTTATATGTGTGGTTGTGTGGCTTTTATGGAATATTTTTACGTGCCCCTCTCACCAAAGTCGAGCTGTTACGTTTTGTTAATTCGATTCATAATCTGCTGTGTGGATTTTTTGGTGGAATATGCATAAAAATTGAAGTTTTCAGTAGGCATTAAACACAAGGGTGGCATACCCTAGTCTGTAGGATATAAGGTATTTTCTATGAAGCTGACACTCATGCAGTAACAGGAAGGTTGATCAATGGTCTTTTAGTATCTAATATTTATACACGCCAAATACTCGCACACACTCCTCATCTTTATTGAGGTTTGAACCCTTGACCTCCTGGGAGGCTGGGGTTTAGCCAATGACCCTTTTGCTTCCCGAAGGAACTATATTTGCACCTAGATTATCCACAAAAAGGCACCTTTTCATTATAAATATGATGACACAGTTTGATGGTTTCTGCATATTGCAAGGTTGGTTCTGTTTTTTATAGTCTTGTTGTATTTGGAAGTCTCATTTCTACAAAACCATATGATGTGGCTAGATTATAACCATGGTGATGTTATATTGAATATTTTGCAGCTAAGAACCTGAGGTTCATGATCCAGTTGTGGGACTTTTGGATCTTCTTGTTTAGTGATTCATGTATTTGGTACCAAGTGGTGAGTAAAAAATGTTTTGAAGTTAGATCTTTCATATATACAACGTACCGTTTGCTTATCTCCCGTTTGTTTTTTCTTTTGGCGGGAATAAGTTCTGTGGTGGTGGTTTAATTGCTATGATGTTGAAATTTGTAAGCTGAATGATCTATGTTTAAATGATGATTGATATTTGAATTCTGGGTCTAAGATGAATCAGTTGGTAAGTCTTGGTCCTAGTCTGCTATGTTCTGTCTGTATGGTTTATACGTTATAACGTATCAAGTCTCTTTTTTTGTAGTAGTTATGGATTATAGCTCTTGTGAACCTTTCTTCTAACCCAAATTGGATCATTTCTATGGATGTTGAAGCAAAAGAATCATTAAGCCAATGGAAATTTTAAATGTTTAACATAAGCCAACCTACACGAAACCTACCAAAAACGCACCTTTTTTGGAGCTACCAAACGATTAGCGGGTTTTCCACCAATACGAAATACTTAAACTTGCTACATCTTTGTAGATGGCCTGGTTGGATATCCCAGGACATATCACCTGCTTTTTTGATTAACCTGGATATCTAATCTGTAGGTGGTCGTCTTGGGATTAGTTGGCTCGTATAGTAGGTTGGATATTCAGGTTAATATATATATAAATATATAACAAAGGCAAATAATGAAGGTCTCAGGTTCAAATCCAAGAGGGAATAAAAATCCTCTTGTGGTTATGAAGGTTTAAATGCGGTGACTTCAGGTTATTTGCAAAACAGGTGGTCGTTTTAGGATTAGTCGACTCGCATAGCAAGTTGAATATCCAAGTTAATCATATATATATATATATATATATATATATATATATATATATATAACACGCCAAAAAATTGACGTGTCTAAAAAGGAAAAGAAATATGATATATGAGAAATCAACATTTTGGTGAATTGGTGAAACCAATGGCATGCTTGTAATGGTCACGAGGGATGCACGTGAGAGACAAGGGATGGCACGTTAAGTGCACGTGCATGGTGATCATGGTCACAACCCAACCAAAAAGTAGTCAATCAATTTGCTGCTGCCAGCAGCAAACTGCAAACAATCCCTCATGCGGCTGTCACAACTCACATTTACTTTGCTTTTTTTTATTTTTATTTTTTTATAGAATTCATCAAACAATTTGTTGTAATTTAAAAACAAAGACCACGCTTAGAGAAGTTGTACCATGTGCTAAGAAAAAAAAGATTCTCTTAATCCAAATTTAATTAATTAAATTTTTTAAACACGACGTGACCATCATTCATTCCCTAATCCCCTCTCCTCTCTTTTCCCCCTTTTTATTTTAATTTAAAACAATATTTCTTAAATACAGTATAAAGCTTTGATGCAATTCCAGACTTTCTGTTTGCATCGACTGCTGAGTAAATCAAAAATATGCCTCTTCATATTGATGTCGTTGAAGACGAGTTTTGTATGAAGTCAGTTGAATTACTGATAATCAATTTTTTATCTGAAATAAAAAAAAGAAAATGATTAGAATAAAAAAATAATTGGATTTAGGGGGTTGAAAGTAATATTTGTAAGTGTAAGGGTGGATTAGATGAAACTTAAATTAAAAAAAGAATGTGATTGGTTGGCACACGACCTCCAGCTAAGACACATAAAATCACCAACGACCCCTTCTCAACCGGTCTTTGTGTCATGAGTTGTTTCCAACTCCCGCCACTTGTCAATCCATCATTGGTTCTCATCATTACTATGGAGTGATTAATTAACCTACACAAAGGATCTTTTATATTTAATGTTATATCTCAAGATTCTATATAATAAAAAATTTAAGTTAAATTTTTTCTAAGATAATTATATTCACCTCTAAACGTATTAATTATCTATACTATATTATAAAATATTTGATAAAAACTAATTTTTATATATTGATGCATATTACTTAAAACTCAATATTACAAGTAAATTGTGAATAAGTACAACTTATTAAAGCTCTATTTTTGAATCCGTGTAACTTACTGCACATAGACATAATCAAATACAGGATAAACATTTTACTTTAAATATATAGAATTAAAATATAATTAGGATAATTATTGAGTTTTAACAGAATACTTAATTGTTAATCTTATAAAAATTATATTATTAAACAAAAATAAATTACTTTGTTATTAGATCTAAATTGAATTATAATAAAAAATTACATGAAAAACGAAAACTTTTAAATAATTAATTTAGTACTAATATCGATACTTTTTTTTAATTTATATTTCATTAAAAAAATATAATATTATCGTTTTCTAAAACCACATAAAACCGTATTATATATATAGAGAAAATAAATAAAATGAATCATTAAAATTAAAATATCCCGTTGCATTGCGCGAGTCTACTTCTCTAAACGTGTTAATTATATTATTATTTCAATATAATTAGTATTTTAATAAAATAATAACACATTTAGTTTCATTGAAAAAATTAACAAATTATTTCACTTTTAATAATTCTTTAAATTTTGAGAAGTTTAAAACATCTCCAATGCTATTAAAAATTCTAATTTTAGAGAAAACGAGAGAAATTATTATTTTAACATTTTCACGAATGAAAGCTGATAATAATAAATGTTTAAAAGAAATAAATATTATTTATTAAATGTACTTAATATTTTAATAATATAATTAATGTTAGAATTGTTAAATAAAATAGCTGTTGGATTTGAATGCAATTTTTTTTATAGATTTTAACTTTTGAAGCTATATTTTAGAAAAAAAATATAGTGTAACTGTTCATTTTCTTTTGATCCAAATCTCTCATCCTCTCTTTCTGTTTCAACCTCACTTCTACTGAAGCTATAATTTTCATTTTGTCCTTTATCACTCTGAGTTTGTTCAACTGCTTGAGCATTCTCTCTGTCTCCTCTAACTACAGACCCCTCGTCTCTCATTCTAAGGGGTGAAACTTCATGGGTGGGGTCAACCGGATCTGGTAGACCCATTGAAGCACAATAACACCTAAGTACCTCGTTATCAAACCTAAAATAGCTTCATAGTACAACAGAAGTATCTCATGTCTTGCAAATCTTGAAAGCATCTCTAACTGCTATGTTAAAATAAAGAAAAGAGGGATTTTAGTATTTTTGTTGCTCCAACAACTATATTATCTTGTATGCTAAAATAGAGAAAATAGAAGAAAGATTATAAAAATCTCTAAATTCATAGAAAATCTATAAAATAATTAAAGAAATTATTATTTTAATACTTTCCACCAATAAGCTATATTTATAATAAATGTTTAGGAGAGAGATGTAAGTTTTTATAAAATGTATTGAATATTTTTAATAATATAGTTAATGTTAAAATAGAGCAGTTGTTGGAGTTGAATATAATTTTTTAGAAATTTTGACTTTTAATACTCTATTTTAGCATATAAGATAATATAGTTGTTGGAGATTTTTTAATTTTTCTAAAATAAAGTATCAAAATCAAAATCTCTAAAGAAAATTACATTTAACTCCAACAGCTATTTTATTTTAGCAATCCTAACACCAATTATGTAATTAAATATTTTATTCATTTAATAAAATATTGTTTCTATATAGAGTTTTAAAAATTTCTCTTTATTTTATTTTAGCAATCCTAACACCAATTATGTAATTAAATATTTTATTCATTTAATAAAATATTGTTTCTATATAGAGTTTTAAAAATTTCTCTTTATTTTATTTTAGCAATCCTAACACCAATTATGTCTCAATTTTTTTTAATAAAGAATAATAAATTGTATTTTTATTTTAAATAATAAATTTAAGTATATTTTTAACCATGTATTTTGAATAAAGCGAAATGTTCATTTTTACATATCATTCTTTACTTTAAACTCATTTGATTATTTACGGTATGTGTTTAATTTTAATCTTGCTAATATGATTTTATTATAGTTTTGTTTTAAATTTATTACGACAATTATTTGTCTATTGTATATAAACTAGAAGAATGGTGAGATACATCTCGATTTTAATATTTCGTTTTATTTTTTGTCTCTGTCGATATAATACGATTTTATGTGGTTTTGAGAAGATGGTGATATTTTTATTTTTGAATAAAATATAAATTTAAAAATGTCATAAAATTTTGGAAAAAATTATATCGATATTAATATGAAATTAACTATTTAAAAATTCTCCTTTTTTTGAGTAATTTCTTTAATTCAATTTTTTATCATAATTTAATTTAGG